CTCGACGGAGTACGAGCGGCAACGCGTTCATGATGAACGGCGGATGCATCAGCTGGCGAAGCAAGAAGCAGCGCACGGTGGCGCTCTCGTCGACGGAAGCCGAGTACATGGCGCTGTCGGAGGCCACGCAGGAGGCGGTGTGGCTCAAGGTGTTTCTGTGCGAGCTGGGCGAGATGGCGAGCGATGAAGCGGTGAAGATCTACGAGGACAACCAAGGCTCCATCGCGTTGGCCAAGAACCCGGAGTTCCACAAGCGCACCAAGCACATCGACATTCGCTACCACTTCGTGCGCGAGAAGGTGGAAGACGGTCAAGTGGTGTTGCAGTATGTTTCGACACTCGACATGCTGGCGGACATCATGACGAAGCCGATCGCGGCGCCGCAGTTCGACGCGCTCAGGACGAAGCTGGGCATCGTGGTCGCTGACGAGTCGAGTGGGAGTGTTGTCAAGACTGATGTGACGACGCCTCGCCAAGCGACCGTGTGACGCGAACGCGTCATCAGTGAGGTCGGCGTGACCTTCACTGTGTTGTACCGCAATCATTCAGGTGATTACGGGACGATGATTACGTCACGGTGATTACGCCATGATTGTGGGTACAGGATTGTGGGTACAAGATGGGCATCGACGTGGCGTTCTCTGATTGGATAAGGTAACTGTGTATCCAGTAGAGAATCCAGTAGGGTGTACCCAGTAAGAGGTATCCAGTAGCAGGCTTAGAGGTAGCACGCGGTTGCGAACTAAGGACCTGAATCGAATCACTTTGCATTTTGCCAACTACTGCTCAAGTGTTCTTCCTTTTGCACCGGGGTATATGATACCCAATTGTAGTTAGCATCGCAGCTCCCTAGTCTGATAGCACCTACGGTCGAGTCAGAGTCAATGGCCGGGTAGTTAGCCTGGCTCCAATTGAATCGATATCGAGCGAAACCATCTCCGCCTCCCTTGATGTACATGAAATTGTTGGCCCATACCTCTCCGCCAGAGTGTATTGTAGCTTCTGGCGATGTGATACCAACCCCCATTCGTCCAGAGCTGTTGAGGTAAGCAATAGTACTATTGTTTACCATGAGACGTAGCGGATCGCTCGTAGTAGTGCCGAGAGCAACGCCGTTAGATCCGCCAGCCACATCGTTATAAATCTGAATCTCAAATTCGATAGGGGTCGATTGATCATTAGCTATGCGCATCGCGCGCTGCCAGCTACCGGATAGTAGATTAGCGCTTGATGTGATATCCATTTTTGCGGTTGATGTAGATGATCCAAAACGGATATAACCTGCCTGAGTAATACGCATACGTTCAGCCATTGGGGATAATGCATTAGCTCCTGACCGTGTAGAGATAGCGAAATCACTCATTGAATATTGAGTACTCGTAGCGGTTCTCGTACAGTATAGATTAACGCTAGGGGTGTACGTTGTCATATCACTAGTACCTTCAATCGTGAACGATATTCCGGCCTGAGCACCAACAGTATTGCTCTGATTCCGAATACTGAGATTGAAATCACTTGCCCTTGTTGTACTTGAAAACGTCGTCCCAGGCGTTATCGATAGAATATTCGTTTGAGGCGAGATTGGTATTCCTCCAATCGTGAGCGATGAACAGTTGAGCGCGCCATTGACTTCTAGAAGGTAGTTGGTATTAATAGCAGATCCTCCGATATTGATGTTCCCGCTTGTGTCCATGATCAGACGGTCTGACAAAGCATATTTGAGAAAGAACTGATTTGCTCCCGAGGTATTCGCTGACCCGCGAACACCCAATTCGGCCTGGTAGAAGCTCACAAAGTTCATGCTAGCTGCTGATGTAGTAGTGTCATTTTGAATGACGAGAGACTTCGAGAGACCCGATCCAACTACTGAGAGGGATCTCAATCCGGTAATACCATATGAAGCATCAGCTACAAGCGCCTTGCTTGCCTCAACCGTTCCTAGAGTAGTTAGGGATAGTCGAGGAATAAGAGAGAGATCGTAAGTAGTATTTCCCTGAACGAAGCTAGATCCGCGGATAGCTCCAGATACATCAAGTTTGTATGCCGTATTAATACTAGCTTGATCTATAGCCAGATTGCCGCTTATGTCCATCAGCAGCAGATCGGTATTTGCGAAACGCCAGAAATATGTATTAGGCGAGATGGCATTAGCGCTTCCCCGCACGCCTTGTTCCATCTGAAAATATGAAACGATATTGAGACTGGCTGTCGATGTAGTACTATCATTCTGAATGACTAATCCTTTGCCAAACACAGAATTTATACTCAACGAACCTAGCGTTCCAACCGATGTGATGTTAGGCTGTGCCGCGGTCTGTAGTGTACCAGCAATCGAAATAGCTGTAAGCGATGATAATCCTGTCAGCGATCGGCTGGAGCCTACGAAAGAGAGATTGCCAGCGATTGATAGCCCAGTCAATGTACCTAGCGATGTTATATTGGGCTGTGTGGCAGTGGACAGAGTGCAATACGTTGGACCACCCACTACAAGGCCAATGAGAGTTCCTAGACTAGTAATACTGGGTTGGCTAGCCGTCTGTAGCGTACCTGTAATGTCTGTTGCGCGGATAGCTCCAGATACATCAAGTTTGTATGCCGTATTAATAGCAGATCCTCCGATATTAATATTTCCGTTGATATCCATCAATAACCGATCACTAAGAGCATATCGCCAGAAGTAGCAGTTAGGTGTTGTAGCATTAGCGCTTCCCCGCACGCCTTGTTCCATCTGAAAATACGAAACGATATTGAGACTGGCTGTCGATGTAGTACTATCATTCTGAATGACTAATCCTTTGCCAAACACCGAATTTATACTCAACGAACCTAGCGTTCCAACCGATGTGATGTTGGGCTGTGCAGCGGTTTGTAGAACACCAGTGATTCCTCCTGACACGGTAAGCGATGCTAGCGTACCAATCGATGTAATATAGGGTTGGGCAGCTGTGAGAAGAGTTCCTGTCAACTGAGATGCGATAACTCCGTTCGCTACTGTTAGTGTCGAGAGGGTGCCGACGGTTGTAATATTAGGCTGATATGCGGTTTGCAGCGTACCTGAGATAGATGTTGCAGCAATTGAATTTAACCCTGTCAGCGAGCGGTTTGTGCCGGTAAAAGATAGGTTGCCAGCAATCGTTAATCCACTCAATGTGCCTACCGATGTAATATTGGGCTGCGCGGCCGTCGATAGGGTACAAAACGTTGGACCACCCACTACGAGACCAATGAGAGTGCCTACAACTGTGATGTTAGGCTGAACAGCGGTCTGTAGTGTACCATTGATCGAAGTAGCTGTAACCGAAGATAGACCTCCTATTTGACCAGTGGGTCCAACGATAAGAGCTTTACTATTGCTTGCGGTACCAGGGCTCGCGCTTAGTAGTGAGAGGCTGCTGAGATCGATGTTAGAGCCGTTCAGCTTCAACGAGCTGCAACTGATCGAGTTGATACCTGTTATATCGAGATTGGTATCAAGCACCAGGGCTGACATCGGACTAGCCACTCCCATCGTGATCGATGAGAGATAGCTCATGCGATAGTCAGTCTTGCTCAGATACAGAGTATCCGCCATTTCAAGGCTTAGGACGTCTGTAGCCAGCGCATAGAAGTTTGGATTGAAGATAGTCGATTCCTGAGATGGGGGCCGAGCTGTAAATCCCATTTTTCATACAAGTTATGTATTATTAGATATACTTTCCACCATAGCGATGAGCAAAATCGATAACTGGGGGGCGGCTCTACCCAAGGAGTACCGATCCGACTCTATCGGCGACATCAAAGCACTCGGGATCAAGAAACTATTCCGTGGAATCATCCTTATTGAGGGTTGCTGGTCTTGGGTACTGTATACCAGTTGTACCCATTAACCGGTTAACCCGAACCGGTCCAATCCGAACCCACGTTGATTATGGTGATTACGGTAAGTTGTTTACGCCACCGATGATTAGACGAGTAGGATGATTGGATGAACACCGGTGAGTGATGGTTGATTAGATGCACTAGGTGATAGGACGCAGGGTCGCGTGTCTATAATAGTAGGGTGTAAGCTCCAACAATTCAATCACTTTCGAATCTTCATTCTACCCCTCAAGTGCCTTCGCTCCGGTCCCGCCGTCTGCGACGTCCCTCCCTCCGCTTAGTCCGAGCTTCGTGTCCAAGATCCATACCTTCCATCAGGTTATGAGCCCAAGCACCATGTCCTCTGCCCAAGACGCCTCGACCAAGGTCTCCATTGACAAGTTCAACGGGGACAACTACGCGACGTGGAACCGCTACATGCGTGGCGTGTTCCTGACCAAGTCGACGTGGCATGTCGTGAACCGCGAGACGACGCCGAGCTTCACGGACTCGCGGGCCAAGGACGACTACGTCAAGTCGAGCAACATCGCGTTCGGACTGATGTTGCTCCACATGGACGCGGACTACCACCATGTGGTCGACGACTGCGAGGAAGCGTGGGTTGCGTGGACGCGCCTGAAGACGCTGTACGGTGGTTCGCAGAAGGCTGGACGCATCTACCTGAAGCGCCAACTCTTCCGCATGGAGATGTCGGAAGGCGGCAACGTCTTGCATCATTGCAACGAGGTCCTCAACATCAGCGCCAAGCTCAGCAGCATCGGCGCGAAGATGGAGGATGAGGACGTGGCGATCTGCCTGTTGCGCAGCCTCCCCAAGAGCTACGAGAACGTCGTGCTGAACTTGGAGATGAGCAGCGCTGAACTACGATCGCAAGACGTCGTGAAGGTGCTGACGAATGAGCACATCAAGAGACAAGGCGAGAAGACGGCGACGGTGAAGACGGAGAATGCGGCCAAGGCGTTCAACACCGACCGAGAGTCTCGCCAGTGTACGTACTGCGGGAAATTGGGGCACACGATTGACAAGTGCTGGACCAAGCAGAAGGACGAGAATCGGGGCCCAAGACGCGGCGGCAATGGCAATGGCCGTGGACGCGGGGCCAACAATGCCCAGTGGAGGAACGACGACGCCAGCTACAACTACGACTACGGCTATGATCGAGTGGCGTTCGCGGTCTCACTGGAGTGTGGCATTTCGACGGGCAAGAATGTGTCCGGGTTGTGGGGCGGTCGACAGCGGCGCAACACACCACATCTGCAACGACAAGGCCAAGTTCGCTCATTTGATTGAGCGGAATGAAGGCGAACTTTCGGTGGCCGACGGCAACAAGGCGGCCATCATGGGTGTGGGGACCATCGTGGAACGAGTGGTTCTGCCCAACGGCGACGAGCGCGACATCGAGATCAAGAACGCGCTGTACGTCCCAAGCATGAGCAAGAATCTGCTTTCGGTGCCACAGATCAACAAGAGTGGTCTGTTCCAAGTCGTGTTCGACAGCACCAAGATGCAGATTGCGCACAAGGGCTCCAAGCAAGTGGTGGCGACGGCAAACCTCGTGGATGGACTCTACTGGCTCCAGACGCCTCAGCGATCGGCGAATGCGGCGACCAGTGGGAAGACGGTCGACTTACACGCGCGTATGGGTCACGCTCCGGTGGAGGTGCTTCGCAAGATGGTCGACAACAACATGATCAAGGACGCGAAGGCACCTTCCAAGTCGAGTGGACCAAACGTGTGTCGCGGCTGCCAGCAAGGGAAAATGGTCCAGAAGCCGTTCCCAAGCAACCGTGACAAGCGTCACTACGACACGTTCGAGCTGCTCCACTTCGACGTGTGCGGCCCCATGGAAGAAGAGTCACTGGGTGGCAGCAAGTATCTGCTGCTGATCGTGGACGAAGCCAGCGGATGCATGAAGGGGTTCTGCCTGCGTGCCAAGTCGGAGAGCGAGGACTGCATCAAGATGTACGTCACGAAGGTGCAGACGCAGTTCGGCAAGAAGGTCAAGTTTGTGCGGCACGACGGAGCCCGTGAGTTCGCGACCAACTCGCTCAAGGCCTTCTACGAAGTCGAAGGCATCGAGCAGCAAACCACGGTTCCGTACGCGCACCAGACCAACGGCACGGCAGAACGCGCCATCCGGACCATCGTCACGATTGGCCGCAGCATGCTGCATCACGCCAAGCTGGACAAGAGCTTCTGGGCTGAGGCGGCCATGACAGCCATCTACGTGAAGAATCGTCTGCCATCACCCAAGATCGAACACAAGACTCCGTTCGAGATCGTTTACAAGTCCAAGCCGAGTGTGAAGCACATGCGTGTGTTCGGATGCCAGACGTACATCCTGACGCCGAAGGAAAGACGGCGCAAGTGGGACCCCAAGGCTCGCGCCGGGCTGTTCCTCGGCTACGAAGAAGTGTCCAAGGCGTATCGAGTTTATGACATCGAGGCGGGGCAGGTGGTTATCAGTCGCGATGTCAACTTCGATGAGTCGACCTTTGGACTTTCGACGCATACTTCGGATGAAGACGTCGATGATGCTGTGTTGGACTTGGACGCGCTGGACCTGGACGACAACGATGGACCGCGCCAAACGAGCTTCAAGCAGGCGGGGAAGCGCAAGTGGGACCAAGATGAAGACGACGACTCGACGCCTCCAGTGTTTTGGCGTGCCAGTGCCAACGCTGTGGAAGCAGCAGCCGATCTATCGGAGCCGACGACGTTCCAAGAGGCTGTGAACGGTCCTGATCAATTGCACTGGCGCAAAGCGATCCGCGCGGAGCTCAAGTCGATGCGACTGCGTGGTGTGTTTCGAGCTGCCAAGTTGCCTAACGGACAACGCGCCATCGATACCAAGTGGGTGTTCAAGATCAAGCGCAAAGCGGACGGCTCGATCGAGAAGTACAAGGCGCGCCTCGTGGCCAAGGGCTTCAAGCAGAAGTACGGCATTGACTACACCGAGACGTTCTCGCCCGTGGTCAAGTATGTGACGCTGCGCATGGTGATCGCGATTGCTAAGTATTTTGGCTGGCCCCTCGACCAACTCGACGTGGTGACAGCATTCCTGTACGGGATAATGAAGGAGGTGGTCTTCTGCGTGGTTCCGGAAGGCGTCGAACTGGATGGTGACTTCGACTGCCTGGAACTGGTGAAGGCCATCTACGGTCTCAAGCAAGCTTCGCGAGTGTGGAACGAGACCTTCGACGAATTCGTGTGCTCCATCGGCTTCCAAGTGTCGGCCTTCGATCCGTGCCTCTACATCAAGGTGGTGGACGGTCACTGCGTGCTTGTACTGGTGTACGTGGATGACGTACTGATTACCGGGAGTTCGCCCGAGCTGATCGCACGCACGAAGACCGACCTGAAGACGCGCTTCGAGATGACCGACAGCGGCAAGTGCGCGTTTGTTCTTGGGATCGAGTTGGTGGACGGCCCGGACGGCAGCGTGACCATGTGCCAGCGGCGATACGTGGACGACATCCTGAAGCGCTTCGCCATGGACGAGTGCAAGGCCGTGGTGAGTCCGGTGGACATGAGCACTCGACTGGTTCCAAGCGACGCGGCGACCAAGGTGAACGCTCCGTTTCGCGAAGCTGTTGGTGCTCTGATGCACCTGATGACCGCCACGCGCCCAGACATCGCGTACGCCGTTGGCTATGTATCGCGCTTCATGGGGAACCCCCAAGAGGAACACTGGGTTGCAGTCAAGCGTATCTTTCGCTACCTGCAAGGCACCAAGACGCATGGGATCTGCTTCAAGCCGGGCGACAAGATCGACTTTCGTGGCTACTCGGACGCGGACTGGGCCGGCGACCTCGCCGACCGCAAGTCCACTTCAGGCTACACGTTCATGCTCATGAGTGCGCCTGTGAGCTGGGGAAGCAAGAAGCAATGAAGCGGAGTACATCGCGCTCAGTCTGGCTATCCAAGAAGGCAAGTGGATTCATCGCCTGCTATGCGAGATTCTGGCGGCCGCTAATGAGACTGGACCCGAACTCATGATCCGCGAAGACAACCAGTCGTGCATCAAGATGACGAAGAACCCAGTGAACCACGGTCGCGCCAAGCACATCGACATCAAGTACCACCACATCCGCGATGAAGTCAAGCGCGGCGAAGTCAAGCTCCAGTACTGCGAGACTTCTGTGATGCTAGCGGACATCATGACGAAGGCGCTTGCGGGACCACGCCACACGGATCTGACGGTGGCTCTCGGCATTCGTGGGACTTCGCATTGAGGGGGCGTATTGAGGGTTGCTGGTCTTGGGTACTGTGTACCAGCTGTACTCATTAACCGGTTAACCCGAACCGGTCCAATCCGAACCCACGTTGATTATGGTGATTACGGTAAGTTGTTTACGCCACCGATGATTAGACGAGTAGGATGATTGGATGAACACCGGTGAGTGATGGTTGATTAGATGCACTAGGTGATAGGACGCAGGGTCGCGTGTCTATAACAGTAGGGTGTAAGCTCCAACAATTCAATCACTTTCGAATCTTCATTCTACCCCTCAAGTGCCTTCGCTCCGGTCCCGCCGTCTGCGACGTCCCTCCCTCCGCTTAGTCCGAGCTTCGTGTCCAAGATCCATACCTTCCATCACATACATTCACGATCACCACGACGGGTGGTCCATAAAGACTTAGGATTCCTATTGGCTAAAAGCAGCATCTGTTAGCCAATGAGCGACATGCATAGCATTGGAATTCTGCCAACCAGCCGTTGGCAGATTCCTAACTTAGAATATTACATTTAGAGGAAGTCAGAAAGCATAAAACAAAAATAGCAGTTCTCATTTTAACCCA